TTAGCAGTCAAGTGCCTTAGGCACTATGCCACCAGAGCTCCTATACAAATATATATACACATATATAATGTATAATATATATAAGGAGCTCTGGTACCATAATGCCTAAGGCATTTGACTGCTAACCAGAAGGCTGGCGGTTCAAACTCACCAGTCGTTCCACAGAAAGATGATGAGGCAATCTTCTTCTGTAAAGATTTACAGCCTTGGAAACCCAATGGAGGTTGCTATGAGTCAGAATCAATGCCACTGGGTTTATATACATATGTATATGTATATGTATACACACACACACATACATATATATACACCTATACATATATACATACATACACATGTACATTCATAACTGCTCTATAGCGTTTTCAAGGCTATGGCATTTCTAAAGCAGATCATCAAGCCTGTCTTCCGAGGCACCTCTAGGTGGTTTCAAACTGCCAACCTTTCAGCTAGTAGTCAAGTGCTTAACCATTTATGCCAGCCAGGGATACTGTATATATATAGCTATGTATTATATGAATGACTATTATGTATATTTTAGAATATTATATATGCATGTATCTATTTTATTAGAATAAAATAACCCCAGAGTTGAAATCTATCTTCCTGACTTTTTAATGTAATTTTAAGTCTCCAAGTTTAACTTTATATTAGATAGTCATTCACCCAACAAATATTTATTGAACTCTGTCAATCACTCTTCTAGGAATTAGGAATTCAATAGCCAAGGGGGAAAACAGACATGTTCCCTGTCTTAGTGGAAAAAACAGACCAACAATCTACAAATTCCCCAAAGGCTCTTCACGACCTTGCCTCACTGTAGGTCTGTCCCTTGCAAATTCTTTAAACCAGATGCTGTGGAGTCAACTTCAACTCATGGCAATCTCACATGTGTCAGAGTAGGACTGTGCTCTGAAGGGTTTTCAAAAGTCAATCACCAGGCCTTTATTCTAAGACAACTCTGGGCAGACTCAAACCTTCAACCTTTCAGTTAGCAGCCAAGCTTGTTAACAGTTTGCACCACCCAGGGACTCCGCTGGAAATTATATCACAATCTGCAGATAACATATCCCTGCCACCCGCAAAACAGAGTAACAAGTGGGTTATGTTCCACCTCTCTAAGGACAGTTCAGGATGAGAAAAGGAGGAAAGAGAAAGGCAAATACAGATATAGGCAACCTCTGAAAGTGGTATAGTTATTGTGTGCCATCAAGTTGATTTTGATTTATAGTGACCCTACAAGACAGTGTAGAACTACTCCATAGGTATCCCACCTAGGCCATAATCTTTACAAGAGCAGGTTGCCAGGTCTTTTCTCCTGCAGAGCCACTGGTGGATTCAAACTGCCAACCTTTCGGCTAGCAGCTGAGCACTTAACCATTCCACCAGCCAGGCTCCTTAACCCCTGAAATACAAGTACCCAAAGTCTGAGATGCCTTGCCTCTCTGTGGTGGGAATAGGAAAGGGAAAATGGGTCTACACTATCAGCAAGGAAGAATAAAAACCTGTCTCATTCAAAGGTGCTATGCACAAGGGAAGGGCCCTTGGCCCTGGGCACATCGTCTTTACTCACCTTATTCACCTCTCCACTTCCCTCCCTTTCAGATGAATCATAAGAGTGGTGTCTGGTGGGAAAGTATTACCCTTTTCCCTTTTCTGTTCTCTCACCCTTCCTGCTCCTCCCCGCCAATTGCTCCTTCCCCAACCCTTAAGGTATTTATTTCTGTTTGCTGACAGTAGTTATCATAATTCCTAGATAATTATGAAGGACTCTGAAATGATGACTCTAACTCTCGACAGAGATTGATGAGGTTTTGCCTAAAGAACAGTTCTATTGGAGGACATTATGCTGAGCGAAATAAGTCAGTCACAAAAGGACAAATATTGTATTAGTCCGTTATTGTAAAAGTTAAGGAAATGTTTATATATTGGAGGACATTTTCTTTGTTGGTTACCAGGGGTGGGAGGGGAGGGGAGGGAATGCTGTTAGATAGATAGAGATAAATATTGATTTGGGTGAAGAGAAGGGCAATGTACCAAATGTGAGTGACCAATATGGCAGCATTGAGGATGAGAAAGATAGAGAGAGTTACATGGGTAGTACAAACCACAAATATGAACCCCTTTGTAAATACAATACTGAGTTGTTAATGAAAGCAAACATGGGTATAGGGACGGATAGATGGGTGAACAAGCTAAACAATTATGTATGTCTAAATGGAGAGTGTATCCAAGATCATATACAGGGTTGGCAGACAATGGGCCTCTCGAAGAGTATGAAGGGATGGACACTGGGAGGAGGTAACTATGGGGAGGAAGTGGGAGGGGAGCTGCTGCATTGTAAATTTTGGTCAATGACATGAGACAAAGTATATGTGAATTGCTGTATGAAAAGTGAATTTACTCTGTAAATCTTCACCCAAATCCTAATAAAAAAAAAAAAAAAAAAGAACAGTTCTAGTGCTGGACTAGACCTGTTGCCCAGACTTGGTCCTGTAGGTGCCTCCCTTCTTGTGCAGCTATGCGGTAGGGTGTTGTGTCTCAGAGCTTCCCAGAACCCTCAGACAGACCAGGGCTGACAAGAGCAATGGGAACTAGGAGCAAATAGGAGAGAAAACAAATGTCCCCCTATTTTACCTACCCCTCCCATTCCAATAATGCAAGGGGGGTGAAGAAATAGTCCCTGAAGTGTAA